TATAGCAAGTTCCTGGATAGGGCTATAGGGAAATCCTGTCTGAAAACAAAGAAACAAAACAAAAACAAATGACTAAAAATAAAAGATAAAATCAGTAGGTAAAGGGTCAGGCATGATAGTGGAGCGCCTTTAATCCAGCACTAAGGAGGCAGAAGCAGGCAGATTTCTGTGAGTTCAAGGCCAGCCTGGACTACATAGCCAATTCCAGGCCAGCCAGGGTCACAGAATGAGGCTTTGTTCAAAAAAAAAAAAAAGGAAATGAACTATAAAAATGCAGTTACAAAGGCCGGGCATGGTGGTGCACACCTTTAATCCCAGCACTCGGGAGGCAGAGGCAGGCAGATGTCTGTGAGTTCGAGGCCAGCCTGGTCTCCATAGTGAATCCAGGACAGCTGGGGCTACAGGGAGACTCTGTCTCAAAAAAAAAAAAAAAAACACCAAAACAAAACAAAACAAAACAAAAAACGCAGTTACAGCTAGGCATGGTGGCACATGCCTTTAATCCCAGCACTCAAAGGCAGAGGCATCCAAGTAACTGTGACTTCAAGGACAGTTTTCTAAACAGAGAGTTCTCTTGTATAGAAATAATGAAGTGAGTGACCAGATTTCTCTATGTGAACCATGAAAGCTCAAAGAAGATAGAGCAATAATTTATTAGGCCAAAGAAAGCACTGTTGACCCAAGGTCAACATCTAACAAAACTTTCCTTCTTCAGGAATGAAGGTGGAAGTAAGAAGTTGGGACTGGAGAGAAGGCTCAGTGGTTAAGAGTGGATACTGCTCTTACAGAGGACCCAGGTTCCGTTCTGAGCACCAATGTCAGGCAGCTCACAGCCTCCTATAACTCCAGATCCAAGGGATCCAATGCCCTCTTCAGGCATCTGGGGATACCTGCACTCACATGCATAGACACATAATTAAAATAAAATTATCTTTTTTGTTTATTTATATATTTATTTTTATTTTATGTGTATGAGTGTATTGCCTGCTTGTATTTAAGTGTACCCATGTCATACAGTGTCTATAGAGGACAGAAGGTGTCAGATCCCCTGGAACTGGAGTTATCGATGGTAGTTAGCTGCCATGTGGGTGCTGAGAATTGAACCCCAGGTCTTCTGCAAGAACAGTCAGTGCTTTTAACCACTGAGCTGTCTCTCTAATCTCAATCTTTTAATAAGTAAGAAATAATGATTTTTCCAGTGTGCCCCACAGTTGATTCTGTGACTGAGAAGCTGGGAAAGGAAGTGATTCCCCTTCCCATAAGCAGCAGAATTGTAGAGCGCTTAGGGGCAGCACCAAACAATCATGTCTGTAGGATGTAGCCCAAGTCACCCAGGTTTTTTTTTAAAAAATATTTTATTTATTATTTTTATGTGTATGAGTGTATTGCCTACATGTGTGTAAGTGCACCCATGTCATGCAGTGCCTGCGGAGGTCAGAAGAAGGCACGGGATCCCCTGTAACTGGAGTTACAGATGGTTGTTAGCCACCATGTGAGTGACAGGAATTGAACCCAGGTCCTCTGCAAGAGCAGTCAGTGCTTAACCACTGAGCCATCTCTCCAGCCCAGTCACCCAGTATTTAGTTCAATGGAGGATTTTTTCTTTGAACTTCAGACAGCATAAAAAATTGTAATTAAAACTCTTTGTGAATCATGCCAGGCACAGGAGGGAATTCTGAGTAAGACTTCTTTACCCCGGAACTGTGTTGAACTCGTCTCTGCCTCGATGTCATTACTTTGCTTCTAAAAGTCACAGTTTTCCATTTTGTTCCCACCACAGTTTTTCGTCCTACAAGTCCTCATTTTCTCAACATTTCCATGTCTCCCTTCTCTGAAAAAAAAATTAAATTCTCGATTCCAGTTGTTCTGGAAAAAAAAAAAGTAAATTAAAAAATATATAATTTGGCAAGTCAAAACTATGTATATTTATGCCATCCCAAGTAGCATTAGCATTTTTATACGCATACATTGTGAAATGATTACCACAGTCAGTCTAGTAAGCATGTCTTTACATAGTTGCTATGTATGTGGCGAGAACATGGAGGTCTACTCCCATCATAAGTTTCAAGTATTCAGTACCATGTTAACTGTAGTCCCACTGTAACTATGCATGGTGTATAAATGCTACTACTCATAACTGTGTGCTGTGAGCAGATAATATCCTATATTAAATATAAATCCTATAGTAAATATAATATCCTATATTAAATATATTACTTAAATTTTTTACCCCTTGTACTCATCTCCTACTCCTGATAACCATCATTCTCTGAATTGACCATTGTTAAATTTTATATCATATGCAAATGAAATCAGGCAGTATTTGCCTTTCTCTACCTGGTTGATTTCATCTAATATAATAACCTCTTGATTCATCCATTTTGTGAACATACGTGGGTTTTTTTGTTTGTTTGCTTTGAGACAGGATTTCCCTGTAGCTAGCGTGGAACATGCTATGTAGACCAGGCTGGCCTTGAATTCACAGAGATCCAGCTGCCTCTGCCTCCAGTTGTTTGTTTGTTTTTGACTCATATGGCCCAGGCTGACCTTGAACTCACTCTGCCTCCCCAGTGCTAGGGTTACAGATGCTAGCCACCATGGCTGGCTCAAGATTTCCTTCATTTTCAAAAAGGTTTATTTTTATTTTAAGCGAATGAGTGTTTTGTCTGCATGTATGTAAGTGCACCATGTATGCCTCCAATATCTGAAGACCATTGCAATAGTTATGAGCCACCTGATGTGGGTGCTGGGAACTGAACCCAGGTCCTCTGCAAGAGCAGCAAGTGCTCTAAAACATGAGTCTTCTCTCCAGCCCTAAGATTTCTATTTTTTTTTTTTTTTTTTTTTGACAGGCTCTCCCTGTAGCCCCAGCTGGAACTCACAGAGATTCACCTGCCTATGCTTCCCAAGTGCTGGTTTAAAGGTGTACACCACAATGCCAGGCTGATTTCCATCATTTAGGGAAAAATTTTATGTGTATGAGTGTACTGCCTGCATGTAGGGAATAAGTGCACCCATGTCATGCAATGCCCGCAGAGGACAGAAGAGGCCGTCGGATCCAGGTCTCCTGGAACTGCAGTTACGGACAGTTGTTAGCTGCCATGTGGGTGCTGGGTTTCGAACCTGGGTCTTCTGTAAGAACAGCCAGTGTTCTTAACCGCTGAGCCATCTCTCCAGCCCCCAATTTCCATCATTTTTAAAGCGGAATGATATCCCACATTTTCTTTATCCATTTGTTCATCAGTGGACACTTCGCCTTGATTGCATTTCTTGTGTATAATGCTACAGTGAACATGGAGGGGTTACCTTATCTCTGTATTCTCTCCAGTACATGTCATCTGTTGTCCTTAGGTCAGGGGTTTGAATAGCTAGGTATGAAGTAGTTTGCAAAGCCTGTTGATTAGATGATCAGTTATCTAGAATATTTTCATATACTTGGCCATTTTTCCATCTTAAGAAATGACCAATTTTAGGCCGGGCGTGGTGGCACTTGGGAGGCAGAGGCAGGCGGATCTCTGTGAGTTCAAGGCCAGCCAGTGCTATAGGGACACCGTGTCTCAAAAAAACAAACTAAAAGTAATGACCAATTTTAATTGGGTTTTCTTGTTGTTTGTGTTTAGTCCCTCCTTAGCCAGTTCCCCCATACTCAGGATTGAACCTGAACATGCCAGGCAAGCAGTTCATCTCCTACCCTTTTGTTAGTTTGTTTCGTTTTGTTTGAGACTAGGTCAGGCTGGCCTTGAATTCTCTCTGTAGCACAAGCAGGCCTTGGACTTGGGGTCCTCCCAAGTAGATGGGATTACAGGTCTGCCCCGCTACATTATTATTTCTGTGCCTCAGTCCCTCACCTGGGTTACCTAGTGATTAGAAGCTATTTTCACAAGGGGAGAATTGTCCAAATTGATGTTTCTGCAAAGAAACAAGCCCTGAAAACTCATATTCTGTCTTGCTAGTAGTTTTCATTGTTTACGTTGTTAGGTGTCATGACTTTGGCTTGTTGGTATTCTCAGGTTTTTATCTTCTAAGGTGCTTTCCTTGATGACTGACATGACTGAGACTGATTTAAAGTGTTGGTTTCTGTTCTCTTGCCTACTTCTATAAGGAATGAGATCAGATGCCTTGTCGCCATCACAGACACGTTGCAATGTGGGTTATCGCCATATGACAGGACAACTTAAAAGTTGCCTTCTTTAGTTCAGAATCTTATTTCATACTCACTGAGTACCTACCATCCGTCACACAGTTCCCAGCTTTTCTGTGTGATTTCCCTATCTTCTCGTCTTTCCTCTTCTTTGCTCTTCTGTTGTTTTATTGAGATGGGTTGCATGATGTAGCCCAGGCTTGCCTAGAACTCACTATATAGCTGAAGCCGGCCTTGAACTCATAGCAATTCTCTTGCTTCAGCCTCAGGAGTCTTAAGAGTACAAGTGTAAGTCACCACCTGGCTTTCCCTTGCATTTTATTTATTTATTTATGATTATTAATACAGACGGGCTTCATACTGTCTATGTAGCCAAGGATGACTGTGAACTCTATCCTCCTGCCTCTACTTCCTGAGTGTTTGGATTGCAGATGTGTGCCACCACACCCAGCTGAATTTCATCCAGTTTGAAAATTTCAATTTATTTCTCCCATTCTAATTGAATTTTCATTTCTCCCAAATAATAAAAATGTGAGTGAGCTCTTTCATACTTTCTTTCAGTCTTGGAATCAAAATGTGAGACCAAGAAATTCTTTTTGAAGAAGGAAACTTACGAAATAGAGTCAGCACAGTGGGAGATAATGGGAAGACTCACGAGACACAATCTTCAGTGCTCTCCGCTCAGAGATGGTTGGGAATGTGACAACCAGTTTGAGAAACAACGTGGGTCTCAGGGGAGACATTTCAGTGAACTGATAATCACTCAGGAAGACATGCCCACATTCAGTCAGCATCCATCCTTCACGCTACAGCAAATTATTAATAATAAAGAGAAATACTGTGCGAGTAAAGAAAATAGGAAACTCTATAAACATGGCTCACGGTTTGCCACCCCTCAAATAATCCACACCCTTGAGAAGCCGTATGAATGCAAGGACTGTGGCAAAATGTTTAGACACCCCTCGAGACTTGCTCATCATCAGAAAATTCATACTGGCAAGAAACCCTTCGAATGTAAGGAATGTGGAAAAACATTTATTTGTGGCTCAGACCTTACACGGCATCACAGAATTCACACTGGTGAGAAACCCTACGAATGTAAGGAGTGTGGAAAAGCCTTCAGTAGTGGTTCAAACTTTACACGACATCAGAGAATTCACACTGGTGAGAAGCCTTATGAGTGCAAAGAATGTGGGAAAGCTTTTAGCAGTGGTTCAAATTTCACTCAACACCAGAGAATTCACACTGGGGAGAAACCCTACGAATGTAAGCAGTGCGGCAATGCCTTCAGCCAGAGTTCACAACTGATTAAACATCAGCGAATCCACACAGGGGAGAAGCCCTATGAATGTAAGGAATGTGAAAAGGCTTTTCGTTCTGGTTCAGACCTTACGAGACATCAGCGGATTCACACTGGAGAGAAACCCTATGAATGTAAGATCTGTGGGAAAGCCTATTCCCAGAGCTCCCAGCTTATCAGTCACCACAGGATTCATGCTGGTGAGAAGCCCTATGAATTCAAGGAGTGTGCCAAGAACTTTAGTTATGACTCACAGCTTGTTCAGCATCAGAGTTTATACTGGTGATGCACCAGAACACACACAACGTTGGGAGAACTCCAAACTACCAGAATCAACTTGGAAATCCCTCTGGATTGAAGAATGTAGAAGTGTTTTAGGTGTTGACCACAGCTTACCAAGCTGAAGAAAGTGCTGGAGAAATGCCTATGAATACTGTATATTCTGGAAGCCTTTTAGTAAGAGCTCTTAGTTCTTTTGACCTAGATTTTTCAGTCTAGCGAATAATTGAAAAAGACAATGCTTTGACTCCTTTGACCTTAAACATCAGAGAATTCAGGTAGAAATTAATCCTGTGATTTTCATTGTTTCCCTAATTTTTCTATAATTGTTACATTAACATTTGATTTTGAATTCATATGGCTATGAAGTTTTTCTGTTTACATCATGGTTTACAAAATGCCTTGATTTTTAAAGTTAATAACAAGTGCTATTCATTTTTAAAAATGGTTTGTTCTTTTGCTCCTTATAAAAATGTTTTGGAGCTGGGTGTGGTGGCGCACACCTTCAATCCCAGTACTCAGGAGGCAGAGGCAGGTGGATCTCTGTGAGTTCCAGGACAGCTGGGACTACAGGGAGACCCTGCTTCAAAAAGACCAAAAAAAAGAAATAGAGGAGTGGGGCTGGAGAGATGACGCAGCACTTAAGGGAGTTTACTGCTCTTCCAGAAGACCTGAGTTCAGTTCCAAGCACCCATATTAAGCAGCCCACAACTGCTTATAACCCCAGCTTCAAGGATATCTAACAGCTCTGACCTCTTTTGGACACCTGCAGTCATATGCATGTACCCATACACAGATACACATATGCATAATTTAAATTTTAAAATAGTATCTAAAAATACAGAAAAGGGCTGGAGAGATGGCTCAAAGAATATATGTGTGTATGTACATGTATATACATATTTTTAATTTTTATATATTTATTTTTTATTTATTTTCATTTTATGTGTATGAATGTATTGCCTGCATGTATGTGAGCACCCGTGTCGTGCAATGCCACGGAGGTCAGAAGAGAGCTTTGGATCCCCCTGGAACTGGACTTAAGGATGGTTTGTAGCCACCATATGGGTGCTGGGAATTGAACCTGGGTCCTCTGTAAGAGCAGTCAGTGCTCGTAACCACTGAGCTATCTTTTCGGCCCCTATATATATATTTTTTTAAATTTTTGAAATAGGGTTTCACTATGTAGATTAGGCTGGCCTTGAACTTATAGAAATCTGCCTGCCTCTGCCTCCCAATTTGGTTGTACATCACTTTAGCCTTAAGTAAGCACAGCCTAATTGCCATCTTTGACATTCTTGATGGAGAAGAGAAGTCTGGCAAAGTGTCAACTGGCCCTAAGTGAGAGCAATTTGTTCATTGGCTTTGACAGTATGTCTTTTGGAAAGCACATCTTAATGGGCCATGAGGTCCTTAATGGAGTCTGAAGTCTGACTTTCTCAATAGTAAAAGTAGATCAGGTTTCAGGTCTCTGTTCTCTCAGCCTTTTCTCCCCAACTCACCATAATTTCTCGTCTTTCTATTCTGCCTCAGGACTTACTTTGAGCGTACTGTCTGTCTTAGCAGGGAGGGCACAGCAGCAGGTACATGAGACTACTGATCACACTGAGTCTGAGACCGGGAAGCAAGGACACATGAATGCTGGTGCTCACTTTCTCCCTTTTGTTCAGTCTAAGACCCCGGCCTCAGACTGAATGTGCTGCCCACATTCAGAATGGATCCTTCCACTTCTGTCTCAGGAAACCCCCTCACAGACTCTCCTGAGGCCTGTCTCATAAGTGAGTCTAAATCTCATCAAAATGAGCCATCGCAGGACTCATATCTTCATGATGTTTTATTGTGCTTCTGTCAAATCAGTTCGTTAATTCCCTCCTGTTGGATTTTGTAGTGTTTTTTTTGTTGTTGTTGTTTTTTTTTTTCAGGTATTTTGCCATGATACATGCTAAAATACATGTCCCTGATGGACAATCTTCCTAGGCATATCTTTGTATTAGGAAGGATTTATACAGTAAATAGGCAAAAATGCCTTTTCACTGAAATCTTTATATCCAATTCTCTTCCCAAAGAATAGTCACAATTAGTTTTTTACTTTATTATATTTATTTAATTGTTCTGTGTGATGTGGAGTCTTATTTTTGTTTCTCTATGTGTGTGCATGGGCCACAGAACATATGTGGAAGCCAGAAGACAGTTTTTGGGAGTTGCTTCTGATTCCAGGGATTGAACACAGGTCCTCAGGCTTGATGGCAGCTGAGATAAATTGGCCCATAAGTCTTGCTGTGTTACCCAGACTAGACTCAAACCCTTGTACTTGGTTGATCTTCCTGCCTCAGCCTCTAGAGTAGCTGAGACTACAGGCATAAGTCACTGTGCCCAACTTGAGCTATCTACTTGGCTGGTTAGTTGGTTGAGACAGGGTCTCCCTGTGAAGACCAATCTGATCTCAAACTTGGTCTTCCTACCTCAGACTCATGAGTGCTGCGATTACAAGCATATATGCAGATCTTTTGTTTTTATAGCTCTATTTCTCAGTAGATAGGATAAAAGAGATAATACCTTACCTCAGTGTTATGTTAGGATTAAATAAGACACAGAAGGTGCTGTTTTAGTTAGTTTCAGTTGTCAAGTTGACACATCAATTGAGGAATTTCCTCCAACAGAATGGCCTGTGCCCGTGCCTGTGCCTGTGCCTGTGCCTGTGCCTGTGAGGCATTTTCTTAATTTCTAATTGATGTGGGAGGGCCCAGCCCACTGTGGGTGGTGGGCCTGAGCAAGCCAGTAAGCAGCATTCCTCCATGGTCTGTCTTTAGTTCCTGCCTCCAGGTTTCTGCCTTGAGTTATTTCTCTGACTTCCCTTAGTGATGATGGATTGTGACCTGAGTGTTTAAGATGGAATAAACCCTTTCCTCCCCCAAGTTGATTTTGGTGAGTGTTTTATCACAGCAACAGAAAGCAAAGTAGAGCAGAAATTGGTGCTGGGAGTGGGGTCTTGCCATGAGGGCATTCCTTCCAAGTATAGAAAGTTTTTTCTGCCCTGCTTGCTCTTTTTCATTGTACACTTAACATAAAATCTGTCAGTAATGACTATGCCACAGATTCAATATTAGGCTGTCTTGATGCTTCTTCATCAAATAATTGAATCCATTACTTTTTAGTTTGGCCTTTAGGCTGCTGGTGGAAGACAGTCAGATTCTTTGCCAAAGATATCTCAGCTGCTGTTTAAGTCCTTCTTCCCCTTTCTGCCTGAAACATCTCGAGCTGGCCCTCTATTAGAACAGTCCATTAAGCTCTGGTTATAGTATTCAACCACTTTTTAGTCCAAAGGTGCAAAATCAATTGTTCAAGAACTATTCCAGTTACATATAGACAAATAGGCACCCCCGCCCCCCCCCCTTTTTTTTTTTTTTTTTTTTGAGACAGGGGTCTCCCTGTAGCTCCAGCTGGCCTGGAACTCACTAGAGACCAGCTGGTCTTGAACTCAAGAGATCACCCTGCCTCTACCTCCCAGGTGCTGGAACTACAGGCATGTGCCACCACACCTGGCTAAAAGAAAGATTTTATTTGGGCTTATGATTCTAGAGGGGTCCGAGTCCATCATGGAGGGGAGACATGGCAGGAGGCAGCTGGAAAAGAAAGCTGAGCACACACATCTTCAAGCAGGCACAGGAAGCAGAAGGACAAACTGGAAGTGGGTAAGGCTATATACTCTCAAAGCCCACCCCGAGCAAGGTGCTTCCTCCAGCAAAGCTACGCCTCCTAAACCTCCCCAAATAGTGCCACCAACTGGGGCCAAGTGTTCAAATACTTGAAGCCTCTGGGAGACAGTCCTCATCCAAGCCACCACACCATTCTAACATAATCTTGATGTCACAAGTGCATCAAGACTGGTGCAGAAATTCCTATTTCTGTATCAGCTATGAAGATATTGAGTGCTCCCTAAGGAAATTAGCCAACTCCTTGAATCTATTAAAATAATAGGGGCTGGAGAGATTGTTCAGTGGTTCCAGGGGAATCCAGTGCCCTCTTCTGACCTCCATGAGCATTAGATAACATTAATAAATAAAATACTTTTTTTTGGTCATTTTGAGACAGGGTCTCCCTTTAATCCAAGCACTTGGGAGGCAGAGGCAGGTGGATCTCTGTGAGTTCAAAGCCAGCCTGGTCTCCCTAGTGAGTTCCAGGCCAGCTGGGGCTACAGGGAGACCTTGTCTCAAAAACACAAACAAGCAAAAATTTATAAAAGAATAACAGAAATGGACCTGGTGGGGCTACTATCTAAAGAAAATACCTAGAGCTAGCAAGATGGCTCAGAGGATAAGGGCACTTGCTACTAAGCTTGACAACCTGAGTTAAATCTGCAGAATCCACGTGGTGAAAGGAAAGAACTGACCATCTCCACATTCATTCCCTGGTATGTGAATGAATGCTTAATAAAAGCATTAGATTGATTAAAAAATATATAGAAAAGGAGCTTGAGAACTGGCTTTTATTTTTGAGAATTTCATACAAGTATTGTTATTTGCTTTATTTCCATCCCTCCCAGTCCCCCTCTAACTCATGTCTTCCCCCCAATCCCTCTCAATTTCTTGTCCTTTTTGATTATTATTACACATACATACATGTATCTATAACTATACATGTGTATGTAATGCAGAGTCCATTTATTGGTACTTGTGCTACAAGTACATGTTGCTCTCCTACTGACTGACAAATAAATAGACTTTAAACCAAAACTAGTCAGAGATAAAGAAGGTCACATCGTACTGATCAAGGAAGCATTCCATGAAGAACATAATAGAATTCTAAACAGATGTGCACTGAACACAGGTGCACCTTATTTCTTAAAACAAGAACTACTTGAGATAAAGTCACAGATTAGCCCCAGCACAGTAACAGTGGGTGGCTTTACTACCCCACTCTCACCAACACAGATGATCCTATCCAAAAAGGACATGAGATCAAATGAATCTAACAAAAACATGCAGAACATACATTCTGCAGAAAACATTCTTAGCAGTCCACCAAACTTTCTCTGAAATATATCATATACTAGACATAAAGCAAGTCTGAACAAATAGATTAAAATTGGAATAACTTCTTATATTCTTTGACCACAAGGGAATAAAGCTAGAAATCAACAGCAAGAGAAACCACAGAAAATTCATAAATGTGTGGAGATTAAAAAGTACAGTTGTGGGGCTGGAGAGATGGCTCAGCGGTTAAGATCACTGACTACTCTTGCAGAGGACCCGGGTTCGGTTCCCAGCACCCACATGGTGGCTATGAACAATCCTTAACTCCAGTTCCAGGGGAATCCAAAACCCTCTTCTGACATCCACGGCATTGCAGGACATGG